GTTTTTTTAATTGTGGCACATTTTACTTGAGCTTCTAATACAGGATTTGTTAATAGTCTCCTTTTAGGCCTCTGGTGGTCTTTTTGGTGCATGATTTTCAGTGTACTTAGGTAAACTTCTAATAGTAAACATCCCAAGAAACATTTTAATATGTTAGTTGTTGGGAAAGTATGTTCGTGGTTTTCTATTTTGTAGTATCTTGTGTCTTCTGTTCTGCCCTTCTACCTGTCCCCATTTATTTTGACTTACTTTTTTCTCCTTTATCTGTTTTCTATCCTTGGTATCAATTTACAAGCTCCATCTTGGCCCAGGTTCCTCCCCATACCCCATAACCTACCATCTAACTACATTTTGCAAAGTTGTGTGGGTTCCTTCCCACCATTCTGAAAGCATTTTTTTTGTCTTCTGCTTGCCTTTTAACATTGTCAGAACAAGAATGCAGTATTTCTTAGAAACACTGTACTAATTTTACATTTACTAGTGCATGATTGTGCATGTAAGTCAAACCTGACCCTTTTACTGACTATTCATCTACATTTTCACGTCTTGCAAAGTCTGTCCCTGACGAAGGATCCAAACTTGGGTGGTACCAAAGAAAACCATATTTAATATTGGTAGTAGTATTGTAAAAGTATCTCTGTTGAAAAAGGAAGCTGAAGCATTTTGGACATCTTAGCCACAGTACACAGATAAAAAAAGAAGAAGAAAGCCTGGAGAATAATTCTGTGTGACAGAAAGAGCTTCAGTACCCTGGATGCAGTGTAATATATAGCACATTTGTATACTGACTTCTTTAAAATCCTTAATGCTTGCATGCTAGTATTTAGATAATTTACTTTCTGAAGGAAAAAGGGAGTCTGATTATTGTTTCTTTTAAAAAAAAAAGTTTGTTTATGCTTTTAATATTTTGGCAATGTTCTTGTGCATAAACTTTTTTCATATTTATGTGCATAACTTCAGATAGGATGGATGGTGGTGTTTAAGTAAAAAGGACCACATTAGTTGTCCTTTTATCATCTAGATAAGCAGCAGCTGTGCTAGTTAGTACAGACAGTGCTGTAGCAAACAGCTGGTTCTTATCTGAATGACAAAGGGCCAGGCTAGAGACCTTTTTTATTTAAAAAAAAAAACAACAACTTATTTCTATTTTTATTTTAAGAGAATGGAGAGAAAAGGAGGATGTGAGGTTTTATTGCATTTTTACGAATATGATCATTTATTATAGATCAGTGCTAGGACCCAGAGAGGGAACTCTCTCTTTTCACCCTGGAAAAGAGAAGGCTCAGGGGGATCTTACCAGTATCTATAAATGCCTGATGGGGTGAATAAAGAAGACCCATGCAGAATCTTTTCAGGGCTGCCCAGTGCCAGGACAAGAAGCAACGGGCACAAACTGAGATACAAGAAATTTCTTTAAACATAAGAAAAAAATTTTCTTCTGAGGGGGTGGTCAACTACTGGCACAGATTGCCCAGAGAGGTTGTGGAGTCTCTGTCCTTGGAGGTATTCAAAACCCAACTGGACAAGGCACTGGGCAACCTGCTCTTGCTGACCTTGCTTTGAGCAAGAGGTTGAACTAAATAATCTCCAGTGGTTCCATCCAACCTCAACTGGTCCATGACTCTGGACTGTCACACCAAGAAGTGCTCCTGCTAGGGGCAGCTATTGGTATGAAGTATAAGGGCCAGTTGCTGCCTAGCTTGCTTTCCTTGCCAGGCCTTCAATGAAGGTCAGGAATTCATACATCTTTGTTTATATTACCTACTCTTTATCAGTTAATCAAACTAAATTATACTGGATAACACTGATACCGGCTAAGGGAAGGAACTGGAATTCAGGCTCTTTATTAGAAATGCATCAGGAAGAACAAGTCTTTATTTGAACTGCAATCTTGCGTTGGACTGTTGATCTCTTTGTCTTGCCCACAGCACAGTTTCCAAATTCAATGTATTTTTTCTTACACAAACTTTCTGTTAACGATGTAAGGAAAAGACTTTTTTTTTTTGTGAAAGCCAGTTGTGTAATTCCTGTCTAATTTTTGCTATTTTTTAAACAGCATTGTATCTTTTGTAAAATATTTGTGTAGTTGGCTGTCGATGCCTTTGTTTAAACCCATCTTTTGAGATGCTAATTAGAAATGGAAAAAGTTTTCCCCATGAAAATGATAAAATACGTGATTGACTTTGCAAAACACAACCATCTAAATACAGTGCTCCTGCTATTTCTTTTATTTACCCTGTACTTCACTGCATTACCAGGAGTGAATTTCTGTGTATTTCTCTGATTCAGAGCTTTCTTCTTGTCAGTATCTTTCTGAAAATCTCTTGAGACGTTCCTACAAATGAGTTTGAAAGTTGATGGGTTGTCACATGAGGAAGGACTGTGCGATATGGCTCACTAAAAGCTGGACACTTGTTACGTAAAGTCATCAATATAGCATGGGAGAATAAATCCCAAAGCACTGTGATATTTTCACACCTTATTTAAAGGCAGTGAAACAAAGGTTAGTTTATCATTTAATGCCTTTACCATGCAAGTTTAAGCTCTCAAGCAGGCTAATGTTGCTGTGCTTTTTTTTCTTACAGTGTTTCAAATTTAACATTTCTATTCTTTTTGAATTTGCCTTAGATTCCTTTATAACGGAGGCTACAAATATTGTTTAATTTACTTTTCAGTAAAGCTGTCAGTTGTAATCTGCAATTTAAAAAAACTAATAAAACAAATCCTCATTTCACAATTTAAAGCTTATTGAGTCTAATTCACTTGCACTGCAAGTTTATTATTCTCCTGCAGCTTGACGTGCCTCCAATTTTAATTGTGTTGACCCTCCGATGCAGTAAATCTCCCCAGTGCTTATCAAACTGGGAGAGATAAGTCTACAATTTGGAACTTCATTAAATATCTCATTTATATTAAAGAGATGATGGCTTTGAACAGAAATAATAATTTCCACAGACTCTGCGACCTCCTGATCGTGGTCTTCTCGACTTTGTAATGCGGCGTTTTGCAAACCTCCACCCCTCCGTGTACCGGGCGTTACGCCAGCGCCCGAATGTCAGAAGTCGTTAGTCCATCGGGCTGACTTCAAAGCCTCTGCTGTGGAGACTGCAGCTGAGTGCTTTGTGGCCCTTGAAGCAGATTTTTAAAAATCTTTCGTAGTGTACATTTCTTACTCATCTGGGGATTGCGGGTGGAGTGATTAATAACGGGCAGCTGTTTAAAGAAAAAACAACCAACAAACATGTTGCTTGTTATTTTAATTCCTGAAACTATGAGCTACTCCTCTCGTGCTCGTTTAGAGACCGGTCCTGTGGAGTAAGCACTCCCAGTTCCCACTGGCTTCAAAGACTTGCAGCATGCTCAATATCTCGCAGTATCTGGTCCCCCCGTATTTCAATACATATAAAATATATGCTGTGGGATTTGTATAAGGACGTTGTTCCTGAGATTGAACTATACATTTCGATACGAAGAGGCGTGTTGGTGAGAACAGCTAATGCTTTGATGTGTGAGTTCATCCGATTACCCTACAAAACGCATCTATTTTTTAATATTTGTTTATTTTTTTAATAGAGCTGGATTCAGTTCACGCTGTTTAGGTGAATTGGTTCAGTGGTCTTAGCGAAGCTCCGTTGGTAGCATTACCGAGCACCAGCAGGGTGGTGGAGCTCGGGTGAACCAAGAGCTTTAGGGGCAGGAAGGCAGGATGGTGCGAGGGCTGGGTGACAGTGTGGGGTGTCTCTTGTCTCCGCAGTGAGTGACTGGGCACTGACAAATTGGGCACCCGAACGGACCGGTGAGCACACGGGCGCTCGTTCTCCTCGCTCCCAGGGGCTGTGTTGGCAGCGGAGCTGCCCACGGCAAAACCCAGCTAGATGATATCAACTTGTTTTCTTTCTTTGCCTCGCACGGGTGCTTCTTTCCACTGAGCTCTGATTCCCTGGGGCTCACTGAGGAAAATTCGACTTTTTCCTCTCTTTTTGAAAAATCTGAGAGGCATACGCAGGAAAACAAGGGATCACCAGCTTCTGCAAACGAAGGCTGAGCTGGGAAGTCACTCAGGGGAGCCTTCTGACGGAGAGCAGTTGGGGTGGGGAGGCAGCCGTACATGGAGTCTTCTCCCCTGTGCATGTGGCCCTGCAGCCCGTATCCATCACTTCTTCCACCACCTACTTCATCTGTCTTGTAATGCCCCGGGGAGGTCTGCCTGCAGTCGTGGTGGGCAGGGACCCGGCAGCTCCGGGCATTGAGGGCTGGGGTGGTGGGACACCACAGGTCTTGCCAGTTCTGGTTTTTGTGGCTCTGCTTGGATGCTGCAGCAGTGCCAGGGATCAGGGAAGCTTCCAGGCTGAATGAAGCACGCGAGGTCTCTATGCCCTGAAGCCAGGAAAGGCAGAGCAAAGAACTCATCATAAGTAGGAAAAAAAAAAAAAGTTACTGTGAAGTCTGATTTCTTTTTTTTTCTTTCCCTCATAACTACAAAACATTTGAGTGTTTGCGTATTTGTTACTAATACGTGTGGTGGGGTTTCCTGGGGGTTTCCATGGTGATTACATTTGAAAGCAAATTGCACCACTTCAGAAAGCGCCAGCAGCCCAATTCCAAATGGAGTTCTTGCTCCGCGCTCCTGACAGGGGCCTTGTTCTGACAGGCTGTCAGTGTGGGAAAGATGGCCCAGCTGTCTGCCCGATAGTATTGAAAAAAGCCAAAACTGTCTGTATAAGAAATTATCCAACAAAGAGACATCAAAATGCAATGGGTTTTTTCACCAATTTTCTGCTGAAGGATTTGAAATTTGACAGGGCACCATGGGAGGTGCAGTGTGAAGCGTCTTAGAAAGTTGGTCATTAAGCAGAGCTGTCATTGCAAATTATATTTGTCCAGGGTGAGAAGTTCTAGCTCATTTGGTGCCCAGACAGGTCTAAGCCTTAGGCAAGTTGTTACAGTTCCCCCATGCTGCTAAATGGACCCTGGGCGCTGATTTTCCTCTCTCTGTGCAGTTGGAGTCACCTGGGAGCCCCTCTGGGCCAGAGCTGCCCATAGAGACTCTGCTGGACGACCGGGAACGGAGGATTTCCCACTCCCTCTACGGCGGGATTGAGGGTCTCAGCGAGTCGCCCACGAGGAACGCGGCGCTGAGTAGGATAATGGGTGAGTCAAATCAGCTCTGCTAATCGGGGCGTGTTGTTATTCCTCTCTGTGATTCATCGAAGGGCGATTAATATATTATGTGGGAATCAGGGAACATGGAGGTTGCACCGACCAACTAAAAACGTGCCTTGAAATTGTTCCACGCAAGCCTTCTGGATAGTTAATGTGAGAAAGAAAGTCAAATGGAATTATAAAGTGAATTTCGTATCCCGTGGCAGGTAATAGAACAAATAACAGGAGCATTTAATATGGTTTTTCAGTGCCTGATCTGGGACAATAAATTATTGGTTGGTCTAGTCTCCATGTTGAGTCTTCATTCGCATGAAAGTCAGTGTCTCATGGGAATTTGTAATTAATTTCAGCATTTCTTCTCCTCTGTTTCAGTCATACTAAAGTACAAAAATAAATAAGGCAAACTTGCATCCATTTATGCTTATTAGGTCATTTCATTAATTTGTTTGAATTTTTGCTTTGCAGGACACCAATTTTAAAACCTTTTAACTAATTTTAGGCATCCCTTGTGTAGATTCTGTGCCATACCATCTGCATGGCCCCAGTGGATAATGAGTTTATTAGCGGTTGTTCTGCAGCAGTTCAGCTTCTGATGTATAGAGCTAGGCAATAAAGACTTGCCTTGCCACAGGAGTGGTCGGATTTACTGACTAGGATGGGATTAGTTTGAAAGGATTTTCAAATTTAAACACAAAAAGCAGCTTGACGAATATCGCACCTGACAGAAGACGTGACGATTGCTTGCTTCAGTTGCAAGTTTTAAACATAAGACGTGGCCATTAAATCTGGGACTTTTTTTAGTGTGCTTGATACACACAGAATATATTAGAAGATGCTGCTATAAACTTGATATGAAGCAAGGCTGAGCTTAGTTTTTAATTGCTTCAGATTGATTTTCAGCCTTAGAAAACGAAAGTCCACCACTTAGGCTTTTTCCAGTCAACAGTTTGTATATATATTTCACTCTGTTTTGGGGTTGTTGGTTTTTTATTTTTAAATTTTTGTGTTTTGGGGTTTGCTTTTTCTTTGTGGTAGCAGAATAACACTCTTGTTAAACTCTCTGAAAATCCAGAAATTTGCTATTTAAGATATTTCTTCAGTTAAGTCTTTTGTCTTTTTTTTGTGCATTTGGGCAACAGTAACTAGAAATAAATCATATTGTGTTCTATTGCATTACATTTTGTGCAGCTCAGAAGAAAAATTGTATACCTGAGAATCAAGGAAGCATGAAAACTTTTCACCCAAAGTCATATGCTCTTAAAGAAAACAATTTTTAAAAACCATTTATTTGTTGACAAATTTAAGGAGTGATAAAATAATTTTAAGTCTTTGGCACTAGTTCTTGTGGTGTCAAGGCTTCAGATAGAACATTTGCAAAGCACTACCTTCTGCTTTTTCCATCAATGTTGCAGAGGATTTACACATAAAGCTTATATAGGCGTTAAAGAGTTATCGCTTAAACAGCTTGTCCAGTGATGGGAGAAGAAACCCTGAGAGAGTCTGTGTGCATGTGTGTCAGCAATGCACTTTACTTCCACACCAAGGGAACACTGGACTTGCCGTGCCAAATCGAACTAGTGGTTCATCAGTCTGGTATCATCCCTTTAGCAGTAGCTAGTAACTGATGTTTCAAGAAAAAAAAATCTTTCCAAAGCTCTTAAAATCTAATGCTTTTGGATACCTCTACAATGTAGACATAGGGAAGAAAATCCATCCTGCATTTTGTAAGTGTTTTATAACCTGAAATTAATGGTTTGATTTCCTCTGAATCATCATTTTTCTGTATTGTTTTCAGAAACCAGGAACTATGTAGAAAATTGGTTGGTTGTGACTTAAATTCATTGATGCTTTAGTTGTAAGCACGTGGAAAATCAAATTGTGCCTGAACCTCATAGTATATGTGATCTAGTCCAGCGTAACTGAAGACTGGTCTTGCCAGGACTGGGTCATTCCCATTTGCAATCACGGCAGCTTCACAGAGCTGTCATGTTTAAACCCAGTTTTTAGGTAGCAGTCAGTTTTCTAATATGCTAATTTTTCTGAATTAATCAGTACCACTAAGTTAAAACTGCAGTGTTTGTAATCTTTGTGATATTATTGCATGCATGTTTTCTTGCATGCCATACAACAGAGAGGTATTATTACCTGTTGGGAGAGATAGGTACAGTTTCTTGTTTCAGAGTAACTAACATTTGTAAGACTCACTCATTTCTTACGCAGTGGAATTCCTGTACTATTAGCATTGATAATGAGAAAAAACTCAGAACTTTTTTTATTTTCTTGAGAATGTATATGTGGTGTTACATGATGCTTCCAGAGTTTTCCTCCTTTCTTGAAAGTTGTCCTAAAAGTGAGGATTAGTCCTAAGAACAATCTGGCTGAGGAAGTCTGGAGGTCTGTACCTTCCCATGCCGGTCCTGACCATGAAAATGAGCCAAAAGGAGTGCTTTATGCACTGCTGACTCCCTTGAGTGCTCTCCCCATATCGAGGACCCCTCTGACTTACGGGCTCTCTCAATCACCTGACGTCTTTTTATTTACCCCTCAATGGGTTTAACTATGTAAACTTGTAGTACTCTCGGTACCTTGCAGTGAGGACATCACAGTTTGATTTCATGTGTGAAGGAGTAGGTCTTTCTTTTGCTATTGGATAAAATTGATGGATTTTGAGTTTTCTTCCTTCCTCAGTTAGACTATTCAAAAGTGATATTCAAGGTCTGGAAAATGCCTGCTCTTTTCAGTCGTTGCCTAAAGTTGGAACAAAACTTTTAAGAGAGTTTTGTTTCTTTTAAATACATCTAATGTAATTTTCAGGAAAGGTATTTAAGACAATTTCCTTACTCTTTCAATCCATAACTGACAGCAAGAACTGGTTGTCAGAGCCTTGCTGGGAGAGTGGGAATAAAATACCAATTTTAGAACATGATTTAAATTACGTAAAATAATGTTTGCTTATTGCAAAAAGGCTACATAAATCTTTTAATGTTTCTGACGATTCTTAGGTTGATCTACTTTTGTAGATGATTATTGCTATTATAGATTTTCTTATGCTTTTTCATTCGATAGTATTTCACTGAAAATTTCTGATGGGGAGGAGATACCACTTTCTGTATTCAGGGAATGACATTTTTGTTTTGACGAGGTGTTTTTTTATTTATACAAATGGGTCTTCTCTTCTAAGAATTAGATGGCTGTAATAAACCCTTATGTTTATTTATTTATTTTTAATATTTTCAAGTTGCATGTTGTTAGTACATTCAAAATAACAACTCTGTTATGCTGGTTTGCTTGGCTCTATGATTAAAAATTCAAGTCTTCTTCTGATACACCGTTCTTGTATATCATCCATTATGCTCCTCAGTTTTGCAATATGCAAATACATAGCTGCTGTCTATATAAATCATTCTTATTCAACAAACAGCTTAGTACAAAGTCCTCTTTCATCTCTTTCTTCTAGTTGCTGATATTTTTTTTATGAACATGGTGGGTTTTGTTGCTAACGGTGACTATACAGAGTTATTTATCAGGGGGTACACAGAATAACAATAGCTTGCACTGAATCTGCTTTTCATCCTGAAGGATCCCCCAGAACTTTGTAAAATTTGATAGTTCCTACACAACAGGAAATACTTCATTCTCTACATAAATAATTGCTATCTTAAGGACAGAATCAGAAGGAAGCACTAACTGAAAAAAATTTAGCTAGAGATATAGTGTGTGTCAATGAAATGAAAATAACCCTTTACAAGCAGAATGTAGTTCCCTGGCCAGGAATCTTATCAGAATGTGGTGGTCCGCTACAACAGTCTTGACAGATCTGAGCACTCTCTTGAGAGTCAAAGCCTGGATATAACGGAGACATTTTTGTCTTTAGACATTCCCCACACATGTATTCCCAATCCCGCCTCTCTTTAGCTTGGAAAATTAGATGATGTGAGTATCTATGGGAAATTTTGCCAAAACTCAGTATATTGCTGGGGACAAATATACTGTTAGTGAAAAATAAATAAATGAAGATCTGGAGAAATTCTAATTGCTCATTGCACAATTCTCTGTATCTCTTCTGTAGGAAGTCTCATCGCTATTGTTATCATCAACACTATTTTCTTTTATTATGATTTCTCTTATTTATTACTCTATTTATTACTTTGGTTAATACTTCATTCTTCATCACAGAGTAGCTGTTGCTGATTTCTTGGTCAGGCAGGTTAGGAATCACTTGCCATGTCAGAGCAAGAAAGGCCCTCTACTTGTGGAAGAGGCTTGAGGTGTACTATTGGTCTGAATTCCACAATATCAAAATGCTTATGAGAGTCACTCATAAAGTAATACTTGGTTTTGAACATATCGTAAGGGTATTCAACAGATTTCTTAGACCTTCCTTTAAAGAGAAAGCAATAGCAAAAGCACAAGAACCAAGCCAGATAAAGTACCATGAGAATGCAGTGTAGTATGGGAGCCAAGTTATTACAGCAAACTGATTAACCAAACTTCAGGGATTTTCAAGATTTGAAAGGACCTGGAATAGTTAAGTTCTTCATGAGTAAGCCTGTTGTTCATTTTATGTAGTGTGGATGCTCAGGGTTTTTTTGGAGGGCTTTATGTTGGTGGTTTAATTCAGGTCCAAACTATTTTCTGGTCTATTATAGGCCTATACCATTACAGGTTTGAAGTATTGCTCTTTGGCATAATTTTCCTTCTAAGCTGAAAGTCTTCATAGACCTGGAGACCAGCCATTTGGTAGTGGAGCTCTGAGACTTCTTTTTCTGAACAGAAAGGTGGGAACCCTTCTTACCCCATAGTGTGGTATTGTCCTGAGGCTCCACTTGTTTAGATTGGTAACTTGTTCAAGAAATTTGAGCCTTATTGTCCTGAGATGAGACACACTTGAAAGGGAGAATGTTTTCCCTTCCTTATTACACCGTCCAAAATACTACATATTATTACAGATTACCTTGCTGAAGTTGAATTAATATATGCAAAAATGGACTTGAAGTGTGTTCAGAGTCTAAATTTTATAGCACTTTTCTAGCCCAAGGGAAAACTGTTGTCTTGGAGAGGTTTGTAGACAGCTCGAGCAACATCTTAGATTTGTAGATCAGTCAAATATACTGATGATTACTAGGTTTGAAGTTTCTTTGATGTTTCCTTGTAATGTTTCTCACAATGCTTGCAGAGTTGCTTTCTCCAAGGGTATTTTCTGTCCACTTCAGCTGAGCTCTCTACAAAGGACGTATTGAGACCTCCAGTGCTGAGGTCTGTCTAACCATCTGCTGGAAGTGAAGCCTTTCACCTGTTTTTAGCTTCATCTGCAGTGAAAAGCATAGGCACGTCAGATGGGTTTTCTCCTTTATTCCAAAGCAACTATTAAAATGTCAGTCTTCACCCTTGTCAGATACAAAGAAGGGTAGTGAAAAGTTAAAAATGTTACTGAATTACTGTAGCCTCTCAAATGGGAAGTTCAATCTGCCGAATGCCATAAGGTTATACCTTTTCACAATCAATTCTTTGGAGACATTATTAACTACAGAGTTAACAGTCTTGTAGGCATTATGTTTGGAAAGAAGTACATTACTAGGCTAAACATTAACCTGTCCATCATAGAAGCTATTGCTGGGCAAAGAATCAGCTGTTATGCAAACTGAACACATTCGTTTCAGTTTGACAGTGATGAGATGCTCACCATGCAGTACCTTTTTCTTCCAGCCACATCTTCAGCCTTCTTCAATGATCTCTTTTGAAGCCAGTTTTCCCCCCTTTGAAAGCTATACAAAATGTATTATCTAGTGCAGCGATGATTTTAGCTAGCTCTTTATACAAAAGGTTTTGTTTGTTTGCTTGTTTTTTAATAATTGCATGCAAAGATAGTGATGGTAACTGAAACCTTTAAAGAAAAGAGGGAAAATTCTTTTCCCCTAATTCTATGCAATTTTTCCGTATCTGTAGGAAAAATAAAGTGTGAAAGTATTTCCATAGAAGCAGTTTATGTTACGGAAATATAAGTTTTGCTATATATTATTACTGCGGTGCATCATAGTTTTAGAATAATTTACAGTTTGTTGTCAGATTAGTGGTTGATTAAGCTAATGCTTTTCTTCTCACAAGATGTGACAATTTTACTAATTGTTTTAGTAAGATAATACATTTCCAGGAATAAAATTCATGTAATGCCATGATCATTCATCAGAAATAATGAATGCGTGTAGTGAGAGTTAGGACCAAACTTTTAAAATGACAGATCCTTTTAAGTCGAGCATCGATATCCAGGAGGAAAAAATATTTTTAAAGATGTTCTATCACATAAAAAATTATGTGCAGGTAATATGAAAGAATCACACTTGAATAATTAGCCACTGCCTTAGATAACTAAATAATTTTCATCCAGATTTGCAAATCTTTATTTTCCTTAGAGCAAGTTTTAGCTTAGTGTTTCTAGATACTGAAATAACCTCTTTTTATTCCAAGTTAAAATTTTAAATAGTGATAATTCTATATTCTCCTCCAAGTAATATTATATAACCCCCATCCTCCCAACTCTGTATCTCATGCATGTATCCTGAAAAACAGATTTATTCAGGTTTAACCATAGTTATGTTGCAAAGCATTGCAATGAAAATATTCCTTCTGATATTCTTTATAGCCTTTTAGTCTGTTTTGGTGGCATAAAGTTTTCTATAGGTTTAAAAGTTGCTTCTGCTTTTTAAACAGCGGTTTGAAAATTGTTATACAATCTTGTACATTGACATGATTACTGGAAAATGTAATTATATATTACATATGTATATTTATCCCTATAAAAGCAGCAGTGGTAGTGGGTTTATAATATTTATATGTACATTAAAACTGGTTTTTACTTGGAAACAGTGTTTTACTAGTTTGTAAGAACCCTCTAAATATCATCTTTTAACTGCTACTCTCAGAAATTAACCCAATGAAGTCTGCTACTTAACAGACAGAATAATGTTGAGTCTTTATTATGTCTCTTTCATGTATGTGATGGCTCTAGTTTAAGCATTTTGACAACAGTGTTAAAACTTACTTGAATTTGGTGGTAATAGAATTACGTAAATTTTTTTTCCAAATTTTGCATGTGTGCCTCCAGATTATTTTTTAAAGGAGAGAATGAAAATTTGGTTTAGCTTTAGCCGTGAGTTCTCATCATCTTTCATAATTCTTACCTTTGTGGAGGCATTATTAAAGCATTCCAAGTTCCCAATAGCAATTAAACAAGTTTCAAATTTCATTAGGCCGAGATTGATCAGAAGAAGTGATGAGCTCTGTTAGTCCCTGTTCCATTGAACTCATTCTTCGTTTCTACCAAACGATTTGATGCAAGAGAAGATACTATTTTCTGGGACAGGTGCTTTTCAGTGGTTCCTAGTGACAGGACCTGAGACAATAGGCACAGACGGAAACATAGGAGGTTCCCTCTGAACATCAGGAAATACTTTTTCACTGTGAGGGTGACTGAACACCGGCAGAGGTTGCCCAGGGATGTGGTGGAGTAGAAATATTTAAAAGCCATTTCATTAGGGACCTGGGCAACTGGTTGTAGGTGTACCTGCTTGAGCAGGGGGGTTGGACCAGATGAGAAGTCCCTTCCAACCTCAACCCTTCTGTCATTCTGTGATCTTCTTGCAGTAAGCCGCAGATACAACTGGTGTATATTACTTTTCAGACCTCTGCATAGGAAGGTGTGTATACAGTGAGACATGGTTAATTTTATTATCTGTGTTGTGTCACTCTTATCAGTAGCATTGCAGTTTGACATGACATTTTATCAGCTGTGATTATATATTATTCAAGGCACTCTCTGCCATTATTTAGTTTTTGGGTTTTTTCTCCCTTTTATTGTTCAGGTAAATATCAGCTGTCTCCAACGGTGAACATGCCCCAAGATGACACTGTCATTATTGAAGATGATAGGCTGTCGGTACTCCCTCCTCATCTCTCTGACCAGTCGTCATCCAGTTCCCATGATGATGTTGGGTTTGGCACTGTTGATGCTGGTGGATGGGCTAAAGCTGCAATTAATGAGTCAACAGACTGGTAAGAGCATGGTTTAGTGGATAAAGACCTCTAAGATCATCAAGTCCAACCGTTAACCCAACACCACCATGCCCACTAAACCATGTCCCTAAATGCCTCATTTACATGTCTTTTAAATACTTCCAGGGATGGTGACTCTACCACTTCCCTGGGCAGCCTGTTCCAAGGCCTGACCACTCTTTCAGTGAAGAAATTTTTCCTAATGTCCAATCTATTCCTCCCCTTGAGCAACTTGAGGCCGTTTCCTCTTGTCCTGTTGCTAGTTACTTGGGAGAAGAGACCGCCCCCCATCTCACTACAGCCTCCTTTCAGGTAGTTGTAGGGAGCGATGAGGTCTCCCCTCAGCCTCCTCTTCTCCAGGCTAAACAGTCCCTGTTCCCTCAGCCGCTCCTCATCAGACTTGTTATCCAGACCCTTCACCAGCTTCGTTGCCCTTCTCTGGACACGCTCCAGCGCCTCAATGTCCTTCTTGTAGTGAGGGGCCCAAAACTGAACACAGTATTCGAGGTCCGGCCTCACCAGGGCCGAGTACAGGGGCACGATCACCTCCCTACTCCTGCTGGCCACACTATTTCTGATACAGGCCAGGATGCCGTTGGCCTTCTTGGCCACCTGGGCACACTGCCGGCTCATGTTCAGCCGGCTGTCAACCAGCACCCCCAGGTCCTTTTCCTCTGGGCAGCTTTCCAGCCACTCTTCCCCAAGCCTGTAGCGCTGCATGGGGTTGTTGTGGCCCAAGTGCAGGACCCGGCACTTGGCCTTGTTGAACCTCATACAGTTGGCCTCAGCCCATCGATCCAGCCTGTCCAGGTCCCTCTGCAGAGCCTTCCTACCCTCAGGCAGATCAACACTCCCGCCCAACTTGGTGTCGTCTGCAAACTTACTGAGGGAGCACTCGATCCCCTCGAAGGAAAGGAAGGAAAAAAGAAATGACTGCAGTTATATCTTTTTCTTTAGTTTAATTTTTGGCTACTGCTAATATTAATCTTTTTTTTTCCATCACATTTAGATTTCACTGTTTTCAAACTGGTAATTGTCCCTGTTTCAGGAAGGAAGTCTGTACAGATAATTTGTTAGACTTTCTACTTCTGGTTGCAGTTTTGTGCTCTGTCAAAGCACATTTGTGGAAATGTTACTAATTGTTATTAAGACCAAATCAGTATATAGCTGTGTTAATTTGATGATTTAATATTAATTTAGTTGCCAACTGAGCTAGCTTTTGTAAAAAAAACTTTGCAAAATTTAAACACTTGAGTTTATGAAAGATGAAAGAATAATTCCAATTGGAAATTTTTATTTATAAACCTCACTGTAAATATTTCTAAGTCTATAAAACAAAGATTTTATTTTTATATTCCGCTATATATCCAGGGGCCTTTCAATACTTCTGTATACTTTCTTGATTTTCCTAATAATGTACAGTAATTTTAAAATCTGCTTAGAGGTCAAGGCAGCTCTTTGTTTTGCCCTAGTGTTAATGCTTGTGCAATAAGAGCTAGTTAACATTTCTTTATTATGCATGAAGAAATACCTTTCATATCATTATATGATTTGTAACTGTCATGCAAAGGCAGTGTACTGTCATAGTTCCATATTTAAAAATAGGGAAAGTAATAGTTCCACATTTAAAACTGTGGAAAGTAACTTTACTTCATATGTTTAATCTGTATTAAAATAATTTCTGTGAATCTTAGGTTGACTCTCTAATTACTTTTATACATTTTAATACAAGAGTCTTAATGAGAAATGCATTGAGCTCCATTATTGACTTGGTTAGGTTCCTGGCAAAGAAATACTGTTTATTGCTTAGTTAGTACAATTAATACAGATCTAAGATTTAATTTGCAAGTCCTGTAATTATCTATAGTAATAGCAAAATAAAAGCCCACCCCTGTACACTGCCACTTCTTGAAGCTAGATAATTACCACAAATGGTGTGAAGTACATGAATTTTCTTATTTTTCTTGTCTCTTGAGCCTGTTATGAATGTGTCAGCAATATCTTAATAAAACAGAAATAGCACCTGCTAGCTGATATGCACCTGTCAGCTTCTTCTTTGCTTTATATTAGTTTATTTCATCTTATGTCTGGGAATTGAGTTCTGTATTTTAAGACTGTTTTAATGATTGTATAAAAAGGTAATTTTTTTAATCCTCATTTGCGTTTTTTTTAATGTTGCAGCTCTTCTCTTGGACAAGTCATACTTGTAATTTGGACCCTTGAAAAGTCCATCTGTCTTTTGTAAAAGCTTTTAGAGCTGAGAATCTGAGACGTTTAAATAGAATAGTACTCAAGGCTGCACACAATAGCTTATTGCTGAGGGAATTTTTTTAGCCGAATATGAGCAAAAACCTACGGCATAAAGTAAGAGCCCATTTGAAACCTGCAGATGCTTTTACATTTACTTCTGCAGCGTATCTTGCTATTCATATACTTCTTTGAAAATGAAACTAAAGAAAATAAGGATTAGATATTGTGGAATTGATCACGCTCAAAACCTTTAAACGTGTGTCTTTATGAGAAATTGTAAAGGTCTTCAGATACAATTGCACTTAAAAGAGTAGATCAGTGCAGCGCCTTACTATCTAATGTGTTCTATTTGTAAAAAACTAAATAGCAGTAGAATTAGATTGTTGCATTAATTTCCTGCTGCTAATGGATGAAGGAAGACTTGTAAAACGAAGGTGCATTGTATGATTTGGCTGGAAGGCACAAAGGGTAAAACTAAGAATATGGATGAAGGGTTATCCAAACAAGAATGGCAGCTGTTCTGAATCACAGAAGAAAATGTAAGCTTTTCCAGCCTCACAATATCTCCCTAATCCTTGATGAAAATGTTATGAAAACAAAGGGGCAATAAGACAGGATTAATAAGTGGAATTTTAATAACATCGAGGGTCAGAAGACGGTTACATTCTTTTAAGGATCAGCTGTCATTCCAGAAATCTTATTTGTTAAGTATGCTAGAATATAGTAAATTGCATTTGGCATTGCTTAATGACTTGCACTAAATTCACCTTCTGTCTTTTATTAGTGTAGTTGGAAAATATTAAAATGAGGCATTTTTAGGGGCATTAGTTCCTCCTCTGTGCTCATTGGCTTTCCAGTTATGGATCTTCACGGGGGGTTTTGAATACTTTTAGGCAATGGGCATGTATTCAAACTCCTGTGATCTGCACCTTCCTTAATTACTAAAACACACTCATGTGTCATTAATAGTAGAAAGAAACCAGGACATGAAAATTGATGACTCTACAGAGGGCTCAGATATTTGTACTGTAAAAAGGTATGAGATGTCATGATGTCATGAGAGCAAGTAATTTTTGGTGCTAAGTAGCACTTTTAGTATGCAGGATACTATGCAAACACGGAGTAATAATCCCCGTAATAAGTGTGTGTGGAGGGTAGGTGTGATAAGGGCACGTAAGGGAAGCAGAGAGAAAGCCCCTAAAGGTGGTGTCAGTGGAAACACTGGGATCCGATGTCCAGAATTCCCGATTGCTGATGCCATGTCCAGACCCCACTGCCCTCTCCGGGACCTGTGGTGCCCTTTTCAAGTTCTATTTAACTTTGGAGTTTTACTCATTTCTGAGGACTTCAACTTGAATATATATGTGCATGCTGTATTTACACGAAAATGATATTCAGCTTTATTAGAAGCTTTATATATGCAGATCAAAGCAAGCTCAGATGAAAAAAGGAGCATACAGCCAAAACAAATAGTTTTAGAAATTCACCCTTTTTGAAGAAAGTGTCACAGGATAGATTTTGTTCGGCAAGATGAAGCCAGTCATCTTTAACTAACGTGAGCTGTGTTAACAGATGTTGCTCGAGAAAATTCTCACTTAGTAAAACCACATTTTTCTGGCCTTCAGAGGCAGGGCTGACTAGCAGTGAGCCAGAAACTCCTGTGTGGCCTTGGGAAAGTCATTTATGATCTGATTATGAAAGGTGTTGAAACCCTGTAAGTTCAGTTGAGTCACTCGGAGGATGTTTTCAGACTTAGGTGGTTCTTAGCTACGTGTTGTGCTGCTGTAAATGCTAGAAGTGTATATTGGCCTTGTCTGTTTTATCTTTCTATCATGTGGAGATAATTTTTTCCCTATTTTGTGGGAGTGAATGTAAGGACTAAATAGTTATTTTTGAGTTCAGGCTCTGATTCATCAGAGCTTTTAAGCATATGCTTCAAAACGTTGCTAAATTGTGCAGACATCTCTGAAATAGTTGCAGTAATTAAATGTAAAACATTATGAGCCTGAGCCAGAAACATTAAAGTCAAAAGGGACTTGACATTGACTTTATTCATATAAGCTCTGATCCTGCTCTCACTTAAGTATTACTTGCTTGTCATATGCACATATCTTATTATTTGTAAATCTGCCACTCCTAGACTGAATTTCTTCTAGGCTGCGGGGTAATGCAGATAGTGATTTTCATCCTTTATAGCACTTGATGCCTTTGGACACTTCTCCTTACCTCTCTTCACTGTTGTGCCTAATACCCAGGTGTTTCTTGATCAAAGATGCTTCTATAAATTTTAGTACATGGCATATGTAAACATGTGCATGTTACAGAATTTAAAAGTGTAAGTTGGTTTCTGCAGAAATTCACTATTTGCCTATTTCTCACTAGCTATGAGATGCATATTATACTTAGCCCTTAAAGTAGACAATAATTCTCTTGAAACCTGTTACTGAACAGTAACATGTACGTATACAATATTTTGAATGACATTTAGTCTATTTAGAGATCTCAGCTTTTTTTATCTTGAAGTACAACAACAATCAAAGGGGGGATTTTGAGGGATCTTTTTCCTATAGGATAGATAACAATGGTGCAAAATACCAATTTTTTCAGTATTTTGTGCTTTTGATTTCTTTTTGTGCCAGCTGAAGTAGAAATCTAAATTCTTTAGGCTTGCCTTCAGGCTTTTTTTAATACTCTCCCCTTTTCCAGGAGTCAGAAGATCTTTGTTTGAATTTCCTTTCATATTGTTTATTAGCAATAAGCAATCTTGCATTTTTTTTTTTATTTTTTATTGTTTTCAACATGCATTGTGGCCATGACACATTGCAAGCCTAGGGTTTAGCCTGCACACCAAATTTTGCCTGCATTCTTGCATTCTTGCATCACTGCTCGCTGGAGACCTGACTCACTCAGCCGAGGTCATGCAAGAAACCTGCAGAAGAGACCGAAACTCAGTCCAGTTACCCCCATTTCTGATTTAGTGGTGGAACCATTGTGGTGAATACTTGCTCTGTAGGGAAGTAATGAGTAAAAATATGTTGGTCTGTCATAGCCAGGTTAAAACCAGGAGATGCTGTGAAAAATTTATAAGCAATTTCACATATGGACAGAAATTTTAATGCAAAGTCTTTAAATGAAGAAGTTTAAAGCTCTGTGGGCTTCAGGCAGGACAGATTCTATTTATGCTTTACTAAAAACATTTTGTGATGAAGAAAAATGTGATAATTTGCTATCAACAGAATATATTTGTTTCTCATGAAGAAAAAGGAACTGTTTATTCTCCCTCAAATTATTCCTGTGTTGGGTCTGTACATTCTGATAGTATATGTATAGTGCACCAGATATGTACATCTTTCATTAAAGCTCATAAGTGAAATTCTTGATACTTTTTAACTAGAATTGCTTGATGAGTAAAACAAATCCATCATGTGTGTAACTGACTACTTGCAGTGGTTTATTTAAAAATGTGCACTTTATCGTTGGTAGAAGTCACGTGCTAAATAAATGCTTTTCTCTGCAGAGTGAAAGGTTGCGTGATCTTGATAAATGTTCGCATGATTTTTTTCCCTTCCTACAGCACTCTTAGTCCAGATGTTGATCCAGTGCTTGCCTTCCAGCGAGAGGGTTTTGGACGCCAGAGCATGTCAGAAAAGCGTACAAAGCAATTTTCAGATGCCAGTCAGTTGGAGTTTGTTAAAACACGAAAATCCAAAAGCATGGATCTAGGTAGTGAGTGATATTTTTTCAATTGTTTTATTTGAACCTGATTTTCATGTTGTAAGTATATAGACTTTGTAATTCCAAACACATTGTTTATGTGCAGTACTACTGCACGTAATGTCTACTGGTGGGAAGTAAAGTATTCTTAACGTGAATGGCCAAGTGGCCTGTGTATTGTTTGTACCACTTGTAAAATGTCCATACATTTAAATATCATAGCCCTCTGGTTATATGGTTATACATAAACATTAAAAGTATTTATTAAAATGGAGGTAAAAAGTGCATTTACCAATCTATATAGAATAACTGCGTAAAACTGTACCACACTGGTTCTGGGTAGACAGGATTATTCTCAGTTCATGATTACAATGCAATTAGCCTTAAAGATCCTTCCTAGTCTCTCGTTTTGTAGATGGATTTTGATTAAGATATTAAAGATGCGAGTATTTTTTTTGAAGAGTTCATTCAGAATTAGAAAATGGGGCTAGTCCGACATCTGTTTGAGACCCAAGTTTTAATATTTATATCAGAAGCCCTATAAAGTAGCAGCGGCTAAGACAGGCAATCGACTATAATGATTTTAACTGATAAAACAACTGAGAATAAGTAATCGCTAACAAGCCCATCTATTTTTCTGCCATTGAATTTAGATTCTGAAGTGCAGACTCTAGTAACCTTAAACAGTGAGTTTTGATTGTTTAAACACACAAAATTCCCTTCTCAGAATAATAAAATAGAATACAATTCGCTCCTTTACAATAATTGTGAATATCTTCACTACAATCCCTGATTCACCAACTTCCTCAGGGGACAGTAAGGTTGGTGGTGTTGACTTGTCTTGACTAGTTGTGATGTGCTAACGTGTAAATAACATATTGTACCTGCCTGTGATGTGAACATGACTGACATTGCATGAAGGTTACTAGTTTGCTGCCATTTCTACCCAGAATGTTTGCTTACTGTTGCAGTTTATTTGCATGAAGAATGACATTGCTAAGGTTCCCTAACTTGGAAAAACAATATGCAAAACAGAAGGAATGTTGGATGCATGTGGGGCATGGGCACTAACTGGGCTAACGGTTATACATTTACCTTTTAACAGTAGCTGACGAGACTAAGCTCAGTACAATGGATGACCAGAAAACAGGTAAGAATTGACAGTAAGGCTGTTGCTATAGAAACCTTGGTCAAAGCAGCTTACCACAATTACAGAACTGCCAGTCAAACTGCATGAAAACATGAATATTCCAGTACTTGCATGGCTGCTTTCTATTGTTGTGAATAATCAAGTCGTACAGAAAAAGAAAATTCTCTATGGAGATAAGTATCTAGGGTGGTATATTCAACCAGGTCATACATGTGACTGTAGGCAGACACCCTCTTTCTACACTTTGAACTCATAAATATCCAGTTGTTTGGATTTTTTGTCCTTTCAAAAAGATCTTGGAAAATCTCCTCCTAGCTTCAAACTCTTAATGTACAGAGAGATGATGCAGAAGAGTTGAATGTCTGGCTATTACAGTGCTAACACAGTGCTTGGAAATAATTATTTTAATTAGAAAACTGCTACCTTTGCCTTAAGTGGTCATCAGATACATGTTGTGAGTTGAGTTGAAGATTATTAGTGCAAGTTGATTTGCCTTTGGAGCTGAAACCCGAGCATCGTAATAGAACAAAAGAATATGTAAATAGAATCTTTTCCACATACCATCGATTGTAACGTTTCACACAATGATAATGAGAAATAGCTTTCAAAGCATATTTTTTATTAGTAATTAAAATAATGCACCAACTGCAATTATGAACCTTTATGATTTATTAATATAAGTTAGCTTTTGACCTTTGGAATGCTATTTTAATTAGGCTAGATCCAGAGGACACCATAACATTACTTAGCTCTAATTAGGAACAATTCACCTTTTTAACCTGAAAATATTATTTATTTTTGCATGATTTGGGGAGTAGGGCATTCCATACGGAATTTACAATTAATAATTCACAACTGCATCTCTGTTCAACCACACTTTACAACAGGAGTAGGAATACTGAAAAGGTGTAGGTAATCAAGTGATACAATTACAATTTTTATTTAAACAGCTAAAATGTCTAGCTCTTAAAATGTTGCAGAATATGGCCACAGACTTGCAGCTTTACAAATTGAGAACGAGTACATTAAAATTAAAATGTATGAAAGTTTTGAAGGATTAAAGCCATCAGAGTGTGAATGTATGAAGTTGTGTTAATGATTATGGTAAGAATCAGTGCTTAGGAACTGCCTTCACCCCTGAGCATTATTCACATAAAAAGGAGTTACAGATCAAACTCAAAATTATTGTAAATTATTTTTCATTTTCTTCCTAGCCTGCCTGTTTGAATGGGATATGATTAGAATGGTGTAAGAGCTGTGTGTTTTAGTAAAATATGATGCTTAGGTTTCAAAAGTGCGCAGTGGTTTTGGTGGTATCAATAGAGGGTGGTATTAATCGAGTGTAGTTTTTCTCTATGTGTAACACCTGGATTAAATTCCAAAAAAGAGACAAGTCAGACAACTTGGGTGAAAGAGCGTGACTGTAACCATCTGGACTAAGCAGTTACATACTTTGTGAGCAGCAAGCTCAGTGGCTGGAAAAAAGGAAAAACACCTTTTACTGTACTTTTATTTTATTTATCTTGCGTGCTTTTAACCAGGTTTTGTATATAAACACTGGATTTCTCCCATTACTGAAGATGGATGTGGTTATTAAACAAACCACTTACTGTAGTTTGGCTTAAAAATCGTCTGGTTCTAAGAAGAAAAATGCTTCAAATGTGTGGTGAACTATGTTTTAATGAACTCTAGAAGCCAGAAAACTTCAGCATATATTTACTTTAGAAAAAATAAAAACAAACTCTGTAACAGTTGAAGTTGGACTTAATAGTAACGGCTAAAAAAGAGAGTGTAGAAGTCACCAGACCTAGTTACTATAATAGATTTTTAATTATTTTTCTTTCTATAGTTCACTTGAAGTGCCTAATCCTTGCAGTGTTTACAGTTCATCCTAGAGGTTAGAAGTATATCCAGTAGCAATTGAGCATGGCTCATTTATTGAGTCCCAGGCATACTATAGTTCTAGGTGGTTATTCTTCCATGTACACATTGTGAAAATGAAAAAGAAAGGAAAAAAAGCAAAGAACATTTATTTAAATTGTTTGTTTATTTATTTTTACACAGTGCTTTTTAAATAAACTGTTTTATTAAATGGAACCAAAACTAAACTATTTTTGATGCAGTTCCTTGCTCTGTTCCTCCTCTGCTCTCCCCAGCCGACATGTTGCTCTTTTAGTGTATTAATTGAACTAGAAATAGAAGAATTTATCAAATCTAATGGAGCAGGTGTTAGTAAATAAATAGACTCACTGCTAATGTCCTTTAAGAAAGTGTTTAGAAGGTAGACTTTGTGCCTTTGCAAAAGTGGTTTAATCAAATCGAGGGAAGTTTTTGGCATCAGTTGCTGGTAGCATTTAACCTAAGAGTTAATAAAAATAAGGTTTCAGAAAGAAACAAAGTTGTCGTTTTGAATCGTTTAGAAGAAAGTGCTGACAGAAAATTTACTTTATAGCCTTTAAAATTAGTCACTGAAGGAAACATCATATATCCTTGACACCGTGCTTTTTGCCTTTGCAAATCACCCAAGCGGATTTGTGGCACTGTATAAATACTTAACGTAAGATGAGAGACGTGGAAGCACAATGAGCTGTTAAACAGCATCAGCACAGGGGAAAAACAGAGGGCTTGGAGCAGGGAGCAACACGTATGCTTCATGTGATCTACCTGTATTAAATGTCTCGTTGGATCTGTATGTGCTGTGAAGTTACGTGGTGGGGGCTGCCTGTGGCGTGTGAGAGCAGATGCACACGCTGCCAGCAGAGTCATGCATGAGCAGGGGGTGGTTGCATGGCCTGGAGGGCAAGGCTTGGCCGTTGTCCCCAAGGGCTGGCCAGCTGGGGACACAGGGAGTGGTGACGCATGTGTGGTGGGCAGGGGCTGTGCCTGGCGGGGTGGTGTGAGCGTCCTGCAGAGCCCTTGAGAGACGGATAGGGCAGGGCGTGTGGCATGTGGAGTAGAGCCGTACAGCTGAGCGCGTAAGCGGAGCGTGTGGGGAGGCTGCATAGATGGTGGCAGTGACAGCAGGAGGGCTGCTGTGGTACAGAGGGATGACTCTACCTCAAAGGATATTTGTTAATAAAATTGTTGGAAAGGAAAATTTTGATAAACTTCAAATTTTAAAAACGATAAAAGAATCCCTTTTGTCCCTCAGTCATATAAAGATGCGTTAGGTAGATGTGTCTTCTCTTCTTTTTTTCTACTTTAAATTCTGGTGTCAAAATAGAAATAGAACTCGTTCTGAGCAGATAACATTTCTGATGATTACCACCAGTCCTGTAAAGGCTGGAAGAAAATGCTGACATTTTTGTATTTAGAAGACGAGGTTTTGATATGATTCATAAATTCTAAACAGAATCAATTTTAAAGAAAGTTTGCTGTTTCTCAACGGATTATGGGTAAACAACTCACTTTCTGGTTGGTAAATTCTAGTAATAAATTCTGAACTCGCTCAATTTACAGGGAGGCTTAACTATATATTTTGAAAATAGTAGACTTGCCATGAAGTGGCCGTAGAAGATAGTGAAGGTATTAAAATATAAATAGCTTTATGATCACAGTGCTTAAATTGCTTGCGAAAGGACATTTCCCTCTTTCAAATTCTGCAACCTGTCCACATTTGTGTTCATGGACACCCAAGTTCAGTAATATTCCTATCATTTCTGTAATAGTTTTACGGTACTGAAGGAACATTAGGTCCTATGCCATCTAGCTTTTCCTTTGGGAAAGCACAACTTACATAAATACAGTTCTCACAAAGATCTGTATTGGGTGGCAGGAAATGGAATTCTTTTAATGTCCTTTATGAACATAAATGGACACATAAATGCCTTCTTTATAATTACTGTTTACAAAAAGAGCCACTCAGTAATTGGGAAAAGATATACGAGCATTTCATTTCAAGGTTGGAAAGCAGAATCTGGAATAAGGAAGTTTACAGTAAGTTGCCATGTAAGAGGATACCCTTTCCTTTTGTATACGAAATTGAATCTGTCAAACAGCTGGTTTATATATGATTGTCCCGTTTCCTCTTTTTTTCCTTCAAAACGTTGCATTCATTTTTCCTATTTCATGGACTGTTTTTAACATAATACAATCTCGAAAAGTAAAAAACTAAATAAAATCTTACTTCTTGTGTGCTGCAGGTATTAGTGGAGGAATAGCAGATTTTGGCATACGCTAAAAAGTAGATAGTTTTATAGGACACTGTCTAAATTGGAGTTCTTTTACTTGATAAAGAGTGTGTTGTGTAAAAATACTTGCCTTAGACTTCAGCCCATGTTCAAAAGTTTGGTGAACCTGGACTGCAGTTTGTTTGCACAGCTGGGAAGCCATCAAACCCCCCTTGTCCCAGCTGGCTGCTCTAGTTCACCCCAGCAGCTGTGCTGTGCCCCCAGCCATCCTCATGACCCTTGGCCCTCCAACAAGTGAGTGAGGGTGGCTTCTTCTAGGAGATGTGAGTTCATCAAGATAAACTTTCTCGGTTGTTGGGGTGTGTTTATTTCTGGCCGAGGGTCCAAGCAGAAGGATTCCGGACCTCTGGGGGAACCAAATTGCAGGAGTTCCGTAGACCTGTGAAAGAGGATTTTTGTTTTGTTTCTATTTACAAGTTCATCTTATGAGTAGGGCAGCTGAAGGGGAATACTTTGACAGCTGCTGTTTGAATTTATTTGATCTGAGAGATTTCAGTTTAACTTAATTGCTCAGACTTTTAATAGCTGAATAGAAAATGAAAGCGTTTGCTGCCTTGCTCCCTCTCCTCCTACCGAGTTAACAAATGACGTGAAGAAGACTTGCCATGCTGTTAATCTGCATCCCTTCTGTAGGTCTGGCAACCCCCTTCCTCCCCACCCAATGCTGAATAGTGAAAGAAGCTGTTTTTTGTAGTAATTTTCCACAATGTAAGGTAACTTCACATACCTTTGTTAAAGAACAGTGACAGATCCTGTCTCTCTTCTCCCTCCTAATATCTACCAGAATAGGGATCAACTCCAGAGCTTTGTAATATTCTGAGATAAATACTTAAAAAAGATAATTTTCCTTTATTGCATTATTCACACCAGACCTTGCTTACAAATGTATTGTTCATTGGTTTGGTATTCCTGAGGGTTCAGTTCTTGGCTCTGTCTCTCAGTGCTGGCTGGCTTTGAAATTTATCTTTCTCTGCCTCTGTCAGATGAGGGTAGTGATATCAATGGAGTAACAACCCACCACCTGGGACTGCCATGGTGCCACCACACTCTTCTCTGTTCTGCTCCCTTTGGGTAGAGAAAAAGTGTGGTTTCCATATTCTAGGTGAGGGCTCTGGTCTCATAACTTCAGGAAATGTGGCTATGATGATGATAAGGATGTCCCACCTCATCTTGCTCTCCAGCCCCAAATCCTATGGAAAATCTGGCCAAGGCTAGACTGCACTTTTGAATAAAATCGCTTCAAATAAATACAGTGATTTTTTTTCCCCTGAAATATTTCTCCCAGATTTAACTGTAATATGAGATCTAATTGTGCAATTGTCAGCTGATTTGCACTGTGAATGTGTGTATCTGAAAACAGAGGGTAGACATTTAGTCCACAAACTTGAGAAGAAAAGTCCAGACAGGGAAAAGGTTTTGCAGAATACTGTCTGGGGCTTTCTTGGCACACCTCTGGACATGCCGCAGCATTAAGAGCTGCCCTCAGCCCCAGCTGTGGTGCTGCCCACACGTCAACCTGGTGACTGCCAGGAATGCGTTTCTTTTCCAGCTGGATAACTCGTATTGGCTGACTAATTGGGTCCTTTCCACAGATTATTTTTAAACAACTTCACAAAATCCCAGCAAGTCAACTGATATTTCTCGGAAGCATTTCATTATGAAATTGTTAGCAATTTGATGCAAGTCTCTAGAACTCGATTAAAAGCAAACAGCATGTTCCTTGAAGCCAGAAGTCAGGCTACTTTGCAAGACTGTTACTCTAAACACAATAGGATTCATGCCCATAATCTGCTCTCTGTTCATCTGTTGCTAGTACAGATGAAATATTCTGCTCAAAACAAAATAATTAATAGTTTTGTTTGATGCCGATAGATACGTATCTCTGCTGGTTTTATGAGCTATGTTTTTAAAGCCCCGTGATTACGTTATCATTCAAATTGTTAAAATGATAGTAATGGATGTTGGTCTCTCTTCACTGATTTGAAAAGCCAGACATTGCTAACGTTGTCGGTTTCGTTGACTATGACTTGACATACTCATTCACTTCTGAGACCAACAAATCTGCAGAGAATTCCCTACAGATTATTGAGAGATGATGTGAATAATGTTAAGTATGTCCCCAAAGACTTTCAGGATGGATATGCATAATCAAGCATGCAGTTCTCAATACTAATTCTAATTACTTTTTTTCCTCCCCGCCCCCCCATCACTAAGGTTCCCCAACCAGAGATGTGGGGCCTTCATTAGGTCTGAAGAAATCCAGCTCATTAGAAAGTCTGCAGACAGCCGTGGCTGAGGTGACTCTGAATGGTGATATTCCCTTCCACCGCCCGCGACCGCGAATTATCCGAGGACGAGGCTGCAATGAAAGCTTCAGAGCTGCCATAGACAAATCGTATGATAAACCTGTAGCAGATGATGATGATGAAGGCATGGAAACTTGTAAGTAAACTACTGCTGTACACAAAGAATGTTAACAACATAGGTTGATTCCTTTAGAAAGTGATTAAAAGTAGTAGAAGATAATTTTAGGGTTTTGATAGAATAGAGCTAACTTCTCTTCATCAATTTTTTTCAGGCTTTTTCCCTTCATATGCATTAACAGATTGCAACACTCTGCAGCTTCCTTCCTTTCTAAAATAAGGAAGTAAGATTATTAGGAGTGTGTTTACTTAAATTACTACGAAAATTTTCTGTAAGACAGCTAATTAATTTACTAATGTAAATTAGAAAAAAAATTATGCAGAAAGACAAAAACCCACTGAATTTATGTTACAAAAATATGTGCATCTAACTTTGAAAGAGTACATTTGTAGCGTCTGGGGGAAAAAAAGAAATCACTGTCCTTTAATTAGAGTGAGTAAGTCTGGCAGATCTAATAAAATATAAAGTTAATGATCAGCTATTACCGACCCTAATGGGCATTCATTTACATTTTCAGTTCTTTAACCCAAAGTATGACCCAACATGTGGAGAATGTCATTAACATAAAAGAATCACTTCAAAGCTAACCTTATCATTATTGAACTATGTAAGAATGGGCTGGTAAAATGACAACTCATATTGAATGAAAATAGTATGAATGGTAAATTACCTCAATCAGGGGTTGTATTAAAATCATTGAATTTTTAACCTTCATGTTGTACTACTTTCAACTTGTCACACACCAGCAGAATTTTTTTTAATCAACCTGCAGCTAGTTAGAAGTTTATGAATGAAGATGATGTTGGGAAGGTTGAAGTAGTAAAATATTTAGCCTGAATGCTAACAGAAAAGGCTTGAAAAGAGATTTTTCACTCTCCGCTCTTTTTAAAAATTTTAGTTTCAGAAAGTCTGTTTCATAAGTGTCATTCCCTGATATTCTTTTATAAGCTACTTGTGTAATCACTCGTTTATTTTTTAAAAACCCTTTGCTTTTTGTTTTAAATCTACCTGTTTCTAAAAGTGTTCTGAGACTGAAAGGGAGGTCATTTTGCCAGTCGCTTTCCTCAAAGGTAGTTACCGACAGAATTAATTCTGCTTCGCTTTTCCAGCACCTAGCAATTTCACGCAGCAGTGAGGCTAAATGCTGGTCTGGTGCTGCTGGCTGTCAATCTATTTCTGGCCAGTAGAAGAATAAGTGTGATAAAATGTGTAGTGATCCTGATCATTCTCCCGGACTGCATGCCTGTGGTCTTTTGGGACATAAGACCGTGTTTTTCTAAAAGGCCTTGTTTGGTGTGAGCCCACTGATAGTAATATCCTGTTTTGAGGCATCAGATATCCAAGGCTTATCCAGAAGTTACAGATGGTTTAACTTCATTTGGTCAAAAATACAGGAAAACTGTTGTCATGAAACGCTTTCTGGGTGAGTATAGGTTTATGAGATTACTGTAAGGGGTTTTGAGCTTGTTGATGCAATGCCTAGAGAGTAGGAAGGAAGTATTTGGTGGCTTTTGTATCCTTTGCATGGGAGTAGCGGAAGCCAGACAAAGCCTTCTGGCTGAAATCGAAATGCCATGGGGTGAGTCCTTGCCCTCATCTCTCTATGGATGAAGTCGTCTAGCACTGGTGGACCAAGAGCCATCTCAGTGTCACGGGAGAGCAAGAGCGAGGCTGTTCTCAAATCTCACATGGTAAAGAAGGGCTAAGCAAAGTGTGACCAAGCTATGTGCATAGAACTGCCCGTTCTGTAGGGTTACTTGTGTTTTAATAGCTTCCATATATTATAATTAAACGCCTAAGAAGTAATCCAGAAATTTGCAGTGCCAGGTTAACAGAAGCAGATGAGTAACAAAGCAAATACAGTACGTTGGCTGGACAGAATTCAGCCCTCGAGGTCGTCTCCTTCTCATGGTGGCTGTGGGAGCTTAAGGGCTGGCCCAGCCATGTGTTGCCTGGGAGCAGCACAAAATGCTAGGTCCTCAGGTCTGTCTTGCTGAAAACATGTCTGTATCTGTGTTAAAACTGAAAGCACTGCACTCTACTCCACTTTGTGTAAATTATACGTGGCCTCAGGTTCCAGAGAATTTACCAAATGGTGTCTTCAGCTGGACAAAGCCTGGGCACATACGAATATGTAGAAGTTAATTTAACAATCTGGTCCTAACGTAACTAATGCCTCACTGCTGCCATAATGACATTGCCTAAGTTTTTTTTAATTGTATTTAATTATTCCATAATTGTTTGAAATTAAAATGTGGCTTTCTGTCGTTATAAAACCCAGGCAAACATGCTGGTGGTCAATTTGCCCTTGAGGTTGGATCCATTTGTCTTACTTGAATTTTTTCCCCTTTCTCCTCCAACTGTTTCAGTGCTAAGAATGCTGCTTTCTTCCAGACAGTGACGCTCTTTGGAATAGCAAATAATAGCACTGCAGTAAATTGTATAGAGGAATTCTTAACATGTCATCACCCCATATACGAAAGCCATAACAATACAGGTAGCATATGTGGCAAGGGGGCTGACTCTCTTCTGAACGTACTTGCTGTCCTTGGAACAATGTGCTATTAAATTACTAAATGTAGAATGAAAATCAGATAGCAGTGACCAGTTCTGGGATGACATTTTTAAAAGTATTTGAGAAGCTGAGTGTGAGTTTTAATGGCTGTAAAGAAGTAACATTTGTGGAAAGGTGTGGGTGTTCAGCTTTTACAGATCATTTTTCCTGCTTTTTTTTTTTTCTTCCTTAATACTTGAAATATCTGACTGGAAGCGAAATGTTTATCTTTAGTGTCTTGAAGGAGAACAAGGCATTTAGTTTGGGAGAGATCGACAAAGCTTTCTAATCTTTTGCTGAATCTTAATTGCTAGAATCTAGGGCTGTATTAAATATCACAATAAGAGGCCTAGAAGCTTAGTGGCAAAATAGCTTCACATTAAGTAGCTTTGATTCCTCATGTGCATCTTTCCCATTTTATGGCCTAATTAGGAGAATAGCTTCATAATACCTGTTTGTGTAGTTCTCCTTAGTACGGTGTGGTTCATGAAATGACACTAGTTTTCAGGTTTAATTGATGTTTAAAGTATACTCCAATTTAATTTTTTGGCTTCAGCATCCTGAATGGGGAGGCAGGAGGTTGCAGGAAGGGAAGGAAATAACAGCACCAAAACAAATAGATTCTGCGTTTTGCAGTAACCTAATGTCATACTGCAACTTAACAAAAATTAGAAGTTTCATTTGTAGCCTGGGCTTGAATTTTAATTGAGCAGCATTTGCATTTGTTCTAAACACTAGTAATTAGGTGTATGTTAATTGCAGAATGACTGTGCTGCATAAAAGTGAAACAAGTTTCTTCATGTTGAGTCCTTTTAAGAAAACTGGCTATTTACTGCAGTAGAGACACCAGTGTTTACTCCAGGAGAACAGGCATGCTAGTTCACAGGGCTCAGTCTGAGCTACGGAGTTAATTGCAAGCAAACTGCGTATGATAGACAAATATTTATTGCAGCACAAGTGTGGAAAGGAGGCAATATTATCTCCATAGAATATGCAAAATAAATAATAAGAGGAAGCATTGTTATGACAAGTTGTTCAGCAACTCAGCGTAGCACAGTACACTTAATACATATTTAGGATTAATTTAATGTATTGTTATATGAATATGAACATCCATAGGTCAAAACTGATTCATCTTTAAAATTCTAGCAATGAAGTACCGGGTAAACATTTGACTTCAGAATTTGTTGGAAACTTAATGCCTTTTTTTTACTAATTATATTCGTTTGCAAGTACGATCTTTTAAATGTCTAGTTGGTTTTAACTGGAACAGATTGTAGCTATAAATTAACATGCAAAAAATTAGCATCTGTATTCCAAAGTGGTTTTCCACTACTCTTTTAATAATAACTAAATATCATCCCAGACATTGATTAAGAAACACTGTGACCAAAAAGAGTGCAAGTACAGCTAGTACAGAGCATGTATAGGAGAGGCCTATTAATTTTCTAAAATACAATTATCCGAATATTAGAACTGTGCCTATAACTGAGAAGCTGTATCATCTGCTTAACTCATAGCGGTCCTGAAGACAAGTTAACATGAAATGCCAAGACCTGACCTTTTTTTTTTCCTTTTTTTCCCTGGTGGTTTATACTTTAGAGTACTAGTTGAGATTCAAAAATAGTTATTGATGTTGAGATTTATCTGATATGGTATGTTTTTCTTGAAATACGTTTATGTGATCTTCCAGGGTTGGAGAATATTTATAGAAATCTTGGGATACTCAGTGAATAAGTACTAGGTGTATTGGACAGGTCTGTGTATTGTAATATTAATGAATAAACAGTATTTTGCAGGCAAGTATCTGAGAGAGAGAAGAGACGATATGGAATGGCTTTCAGTCAGTGATTTGTAGACTTTTCAGGTTCAATGAATTACTTGCAAGGTGAATATGAATGATGACTAAGAAAAGCAAGTTTATATTCTACAGTAGTCTATGTATGAGAAATTTCTAAAGGATTACACATTTCTATTGGCTGTAGAAGAGTCATGGAGGTCTAGAAACAATAATATTAGTAGGAATAATAAGAAGAAGGAGTAAACAGATGCTAAACTAAAGAAATGATTCTTTTTTCCTTCTATAAGCCATAGCCATTTCCAAATCTTATTGAGTACAAAAAAAATTTTCCTGTCTGTAGACTGTGTATATATAAAGCAAAATTGTATTTTTCAAATTCTACTGCCAAAAGTTGTTTGGAGCCTTTGTATTCATTAGAGCTACAAGAGACAGCACAAAGTATGCATCTGTGATCCTAACTGCCGCTTCGTGCTGTCTGTTGGAAAATTGGGAGATGGTGTAGCCCTACTTATAATGTGATGACATAAAACATTAGAGCTCCTGGAAGGTCACAGCCTCACCAGCCATGCAGTGTAATTTTTGCACTTGGCTTTAAGTTAAGTCAAAATGGTTGCAGGATTCTAACCCACAAGCTTGAAGTATTTTAGTTTTTTCTCACTAAGCTACTGGGGGAGTTTTCAGTTTTTGAATGGATTGTTTCTTTTGGTCATTTTTTTTTCAAACTTTCTGAAATACATGTGCTCTTAAATCTAACCTTGGGTATACTTCAGGATTCTCGGAGTCTTGATCTTGGCTCAGAAATGGAGAAGGAACATGTTAGAGGATTTTACTTGTTCTGTTGGATGGAGTCTCCCCACCCGAACTTCCCAGGCTGCCCTAGCTCAACCAAGAATAAAACAAAGAATAAAAATCATGGTGCATGATGTGTTTTAAACTGCTCCAGGAAATGAAGTAGTGTGACAAAACCATTACGTTACTTGCAGCAGAAGAAAAAGTCTATTAAGGCTTGTATTGAGCGTTAATGGTCCTTAATGACTTTCATATTTTTATGAGAGTATTACTAAGAACTTACTTGACAGGGCGTGCTGCACCGCTGTTGTTTCTTCTCGCAGATATTTCTAAAGCTCTCCTCAACTGATTTAGATACTGTAACAAAATAGGCCAATTAACATCACTTTGCTAATCCTCTTTATTAATCCATACATTATTCAGAGTACCCACAAAGCACAAATCGTGTTTTGCAGAGTGTTCTGCAAAGGTGAATTCCTTGTTTTTAGGAATTTAATAATACAAATGAACATTCCAGGAAACCCACACTTGAGCAGATACTGATTTGGAAAAAAAAAAGGAGTATTTTGTGGTTGTGCATATATCCTGCTTCAAAATACATTATGCAATATACCAAAAAGCCTGCCCTTGTTGTTTGTTCTTATCCCACTGATGTTTCTTAATATGTGCCTTCAGTGGAGGAAGACACAGAGGAGAGCTCAAGATCTGGTAGAGAATCTGTGTCCACAGCAAGTGACCAGCCATCCCACTCATTGGAGAGACAGATGAATGGAAGCCAAGATAAAGGCGACAGAAAAAAGGCTGGGAAGGAAAAGAAGAAAGATCGAGATAAAGAGAAGGATAAAATTAAGGCAAAGAAAGGAATGCTGAAAGGCTTAGGAGACATGTTCAGGTAGGTGCTTTGCAATCAAATGTAAGAATGAATTATAAAATTAAATTTCATCTTTTAGTTATTCATTTATATTGTAACTGTTGCTGAGGCCGTATTTTACTATACAAATATATACGTGATGTATATAGGCTGATCTCTCAATTTTTGAGCCTATGAGTGTTGTCATGGAAGTGAAGCAGCTCAGAATGGAAGAGAAGGAGATGGCTGGCGGGCTAAAGGGGCTGCAAAGGGAAAAATGGTTTTAAGCAACAAACTGCTTGGTCTTGAAAAGAGTCTTTGGTGATGTCTAAGTAGTGCACATATCCTTTGGCAGGTCAAACAATTTGGGGTTTTGTTTTTTTCTTAAACTGTGCTGTTCCTAATACTGTACCCAAAGCTTATGTGTTACTAAATGAATGTTTTTCTTTGCTTTGCTATTAAGACTGTTTGGTATCATGGAGGCATGATGCGAAAGAGATGAATCAGTTTGAGATTGAAAAACAGCATGCTCCTCTCAAGGAAAACAGGATCTAAATAAGGTTGTGTGCTCTGAGAACCCACAGTCTGGAGAAGGGGTCAATGAAAGACCTGATCTTTACCAAGCACTGAGTTTTTTTGAAAGGAGTCGTCTCTCCAGCAGACATAAGTGATCTGAAAGGAGCAGACTGCTGAGGGACACCCTGCTGTTCTGAGTAAATGGTGAAACATGACAAACACCTTTGATCACTTGTGGGAGGGGGTGAGAGAGCAAGAAAATCAAGTCTTTCTTTTAGCTAGCTAGAACAAATAAATATATTTCCAAGAAAAAACAATATTAAGGCAGTGTTTATTTTCTTTTCTATATGCAGTGGTTCATAATTTAATTTTGAACAGAGATACCAGTATTATTTTAAAGATTTATTAACAATTATTCTGCTCTAAAAACATGTAAGTGGAGCTGCAGTTACCTCCATCCTGTTACCTTCTTTATCCTGCAAAACATTAATTGAGCCTATGTTGTGACTGTGTAGGTTCTTGAGAGTTGTTCTGTGTCTGTGAATCATATTACAAAATTAGTTAATAGAAAAACTAGTTAATTAGAAAATACAGGTTAGAAAATGTGTTTAGAAAACACAAAACAGTATCAGGTTCTTAGCATATGCCACAGAATACCAAAAGAGTCATAGTCCCACACTTAGACAGGAGGAGAGCGCTTCAGCCTGGTCCCCTGCGAGTCCCACTGGGAAGCCCTCATCTTCTGGGTGTTGACCTGCCTAAATTCAAGCCTGGACCTGAGAGTTGCACCCCGCGCTGGCGGAAGGTGGAAGGTTAGAGATACGACTGGTTTTCTTCTGCAGTCTTTGCCGTTTTTCTGCCGCAGGCAGAATTGAGGCAAATTACACATGATAAATTCTGTGGACTGTGATACCATGATACCATGAGTGCTATCTCATGAGTTCAGTCAGAAACTGTTTACAGCATCTAGAAAGTTTGGGCAGCTCCTTGGTCTTCAGTTTCCTCCTGTGTAACATTCCCAGTACCCAGAGGACCTGTGAGGTAGCTGCTTCATCTTGCACGCTGTGGTACGCAGAGGGTCCCATCTAAAGGGAGGAGCCTTCATGTTCCAGAGAGCCGGCTGTTGGCTCCTCTCTGCCCTCCAGCCTTGGAGTCTGATGTCTGGTGCTTCTGTGCAGCTTTGAAAGCTTTTTGATGGAACCGAGTGTGAAAGTGGAAATTCATACCATTTTTAATCAGGCGCTCCCAGGTAAATAGGATGTAACCTTGTCTGTATGCTCCATATAACACTTCTGAAATCTTTAATCTGGAAATGACAGTAATTTGACTGGTAGGAAGATCTGATGATTGCTTTGTTGTTTGCTCTTCATAACAGTCTACGTTTCCTTGAGTTATTTTTTCCCTCACTACCATTTCTGAGTGAACTTTACTTTTCAGTCTCCTCGTAATAAACATGGGAGCAGTGCTATCCAGACACAGTTGACTCCTCCTAGATCTGTAAATTAGCTTGCACCTTGTCAGCCCACCCAAGAGAGGTGCTCCTGGCAAGCAGGAAAATGCTGATTGAGGGAATTAAGCATTATGCCTCATTTCCACTCAGTGCTTGATTTGCTTTGTTGACAGGCTTCTCAATAATGTTTGAGAGATGGGCTTTATTATGTCTGCAAGATAAGCTACTATTTCTGCCTATAACATGCTTTGTTTTTCTGTACATCTGACATATATCATAGATACCAAGTAATCACTGGAAGAAGTTGTGCGATAGAAGACAATAACGACAGTAACATTTAAAATTGAAGCCATGATCAAAGCATAATTGGATGTTTTGGTTTGTGCAACACTCTGATTTCTTTGTAGTTCTTACTGTTCTCTCCCTTTTCACTTTTTTTCTTCCTTTTCCGTGCTCCTATCTTAAAATAATCTTTCTTCATTAGGCTGTATGGGCAAGAACACTTGCGGGATGAAATTACTGTTAACTGACAATTTATTCCAATGTCTGTGTTTAGCCAAGGGGATTTTTATTGCCTATATGCAAACTGGCAGCTCATAAAGTGGAGTCTCTGTGATATATAAAAGTAAGTCTCCTTGCCTTCAGTTAAAATCTTAGGATTTGCTCCTGGGATCTTCATTAAACTGTACTGTGAGATGGAAACTCCCACTAGGGAACCCTAGGTTACATTTATCCTTCAGCACCTAGTCATCATTTCCAAGAAATGCCTGGATGATTCAGGTAGCAGGTTAAAATCATAAGTAAATCTTTTAAGCACTTCCATTGTTTTACTGCTTTTATCAAACATAGTAAAGAGGATTGACGTAACCATGAAGGAGAACTGTAAAACGCAGGGTGCAGCCTGTGTGGCTCTGACACGCACAACTCCTGTTATTTCTAGAGGACCTTTGCTGACATTGGGCTGTGGACAGTCTGAAAGTTCACCCTTCTCACTGTAAAATAAATCTGTCTGAGCATGTGTGTATTTCTTTTTTCAAATTGACATTTCAGGGCAGAACAGAATAATTTATTTAAATTTGTCATTTGGCTGAGAAATCCCTTTCTCTTCACAGATGAATATAGGGCAGAAGCTAACCTAGAAAAGTGTTGAACAAAAACATTGGTCTGTTGGAGGAGATGCATGTGCTGCAGAGCTTTGCTTACACCTGAATGTATTTGTCTTACCTGAATAGTTGCATTATTCCTGTCTTTCTTATCCCTTCAGTAGGATCGTGTGCCATGTCCTGTGGCTGTAATCATATACAAAATGGGAGGCTGTGCAGTTCCTTTTTCTCCATTGCTGGCATTTAGGGGGTGCCTGGATGGCCACTGCCAGCTGAGCAAATAGTTTTTGGGAAGCTGATATGAAGTTCTGCTAGTTTTTGTGTTTCACTACTAAGAAGGCTTGAGTGGATATATGTTTTGACATCAGAAGTTTGTAAAAATCTGTATGCTTCTTCAAGTGCAATCTAAAATATGTTTATTCATTTCTGAGTCTGATTTTGTTTATTTTTAAGTAGAGATTTTGCTTCTTGATAAAAATCAACCTGACAAAAACAGTCAGTTGATAAATAAGTCATTGTAGTGCTGCCTTACGAAAGAGGCTTCAGTTTCAAACAGTGAAATGTAATTAGTGCTGGTGGGGATACATTAATTTGATGGGCTTCTATGTCATGCAATTCTTTGACATTCCTCTCCTGAGAGAGGAAAATTGTATATGCTGCCTTCTTTTCCCCTCCTCTTGTCCCTGTCATGTACAGGGTATTGTCATTTATGAAAGTGGGTGCCCTCAGAATGTAAGATAGGGAGATTTGAGATTGTTCTTATTTGCAGGTTTTGGCTGATGATGAAATTACAGTCTTCTGTGGTGCAGCTGATCACTTAAAATCTCTGACCTTCATTCATGCTCATTCCTGGTGTACAGGCTTGGATATGCTTTCTAGATGGGCGACTGGACTGGTCAACTAATAGGTGATAAGCAAATGAAGTGGTAGCTCCACATCTTTCCTCAGCTTGCTCAGGCCATATAAATTTTCCTCTACGGTTGTCCCTGAACCATGGTTCTGTAAGACAGTGGCATCACTGTCGTTATGCCACTTTTTGGGGGAATTTACCTTGTTTGCAAGGAAGTAGACAGCCACGCTCTTACTGAGGAGTTTGTATAGGAGAAATCTCATTGGAGAGTTTCATGATAGAAAAATTATGTCCAGCAAGTGATCGGTTTCAGGAAAGAATGTATCTGAGGAATAACATCTTTAGAAGAAACTGAACTACCAAAATGTTGAGAATGAAGAGGGAAAAAAAGCAGCTTTGGGTTTCCAAAGGGAGGAAGGGAGTAGGGAGGCCAAGCTATCTAGTCATGTCTTGCTGGAAATATTGGAAGGACAGTCACTGCCTGATAATAAAAGCCTGCTGAAACAAGTAATCATTGATATGATTGGATAAAAATGGATCTGCAAATACAAAGGGTATGTTTGAGTTTACGTGGGGAACTGCTGAGGAGAACAGCAGGAGAAAAGATGGGGGTAATACACTTTGTGTCGTAACCTTGAGTTTAAGCAAGAAAATATCTGCCTTAGTTTTGGAGGTTGCTTATGAAATGATTGTAATGTAATTTGAAGCAACTGTGGATAAGTATGTTATATGAAATAAGTAAATTTTCTACTGTGGGAATTAATACCTCAGTCCCACATAAACATAGCTTTTCAATGGGGAGCATAAGTACTGTGTGTTGAAGTTTGTGGAACAAGACAGTATGCTTAAAATTAATCATGTGCATAGGTGTTTTTAGTACTGGAGACTGTATATTTCAAGATCTGGCCTGTAATGTTAATGGAAATGTAAAGCTGTAACGTATGGTAACTGATCTTTAATTCCTCTCTTAACTATTGTAGCCCTCCGGTGGGTAAATCAATGCACTGGATCACTGGATAGCCAATGCAAATGTAATATTCCCCGATTACCATTAAAATCTAATCCTAATTAGATTTAATTACATTTTAAATGATTACTGGGAGCTTTGCAGTGTTGTATCTTC